ACAGTCCGCGCGGTTGTCACGTCGATGGTCCCGCGCCTGTGGTCGGTGCCTACAATTTAAAGAGGAGCATATAACCAGTTAGGAATTACAGATAACACAGCTTCAAAAATGTAAGAAACTACGTAATCGAAATTCAAACAAAAAATAATTTAATTCACAAAATCTTCAAACAGCCTAATTTAAATTACAAAATACACTACAAATGGCGGCAGACATTGTTGATTGTTTATTAAATAATTAATTTCATAGATCTAACAAACGACGTAATTTAAAGTAAACATCAAATGAAGCACACTTACACTACTTAAATAGAATAGTAACGATAGATGGCCGCAGACAGTGCTAAAAGTCTTCATTAAATAATTCATTTCATAGATTTATCAAAATACAGAGTGTCCCAAAAATGTATATACACTTTAAATAAGTGTAAACTTGATGTTCATGATAATTTGTTTTATTTCAAATACTATTATTTTCGGTCAAGATCATAGTCTTTAAGAGCATGGAGTAATGTCGGTATATAACTTTTCCAACGGCAAGTTGCATAATGTGAAATCATGCAGTGAAATAAAACAATAAACAGATACGTGTAGATATTTTAACATTTTTGAAACAATAAAATTATAACGAAGACCAAGTTTACAATTATGTAAAATGTGTATACATTTTTGGGACACTGTACATAAGTTGAAATAAAGATTAAATGAAGCATACTACACTTAAGTAATAATGGCAAATGGCAGATAGGCACAAAAAGCTGAACAATTATGCACTTTGAAAAACATGTATTATTTGCTATGCCTGCCCGCAGTCAATGCTTACACAATTACATAAACTGCTGCTACTTATAAGTACTTAATAGTGAGTCTATTGTCTTCCTCATAATGGTGTGCCGCATACATCAGTTCCACACGGCGTACGAGTGCAGTCTACGGAGCGACGTAGCCCAAAGCAATGACGTGCCATAGTCAGCGTACGCGCGCGCGCACATATACGCACGCACGCAGTCATCCATG